TATTATTATGAATTCAACAACATACAACCAACAGTGTACTCTTACCGAACCAGTAACAGAAATGAAAAAACCAAAACAAACATACCAAAAGACATATCAACACCCTAAATCCTAAACCCTAAAATGTAGAATAATTTGAAATGAAATATGACGATAATATATACTGAAAACATCCAGAATAAGGATAATATAAACATTTACGTTATTATTATGAATTCAACAACGTACAACTAACAGTGTACTCTTACCCAACCAGCAACAGAAATGAAAAAACCAAAACAAACATACCAAAAGACATATCAACACCCTAAATCCTAAACCCTGAAATGTAGAATAATTTGAAATGAAATATGACGATAATATATACTGAAAACATCCAGAATAAGGATAATATAAACATTTACGTTATTACTATGAATTCAACAACGTACAACTAATAGTGTACTCTTACCCAACCAGCAACAGAAATGAAAAAACCAAAACAAACATACCAAAAGACATATCAACACCCTAAATCCTAAACCCTGAAATGTAGAATAATTTGAAATGAAATATGACGATAATATATACTGAAAACATCCAGAATAAGGATAATATAAACATTTCATCATTTACATCCTCCTGTCCATACATAATTACTATTTGCTGCGAGATTCTGAATCAGACCAGTGGCAACTGTCAATGTTTATAACCACAATTTAGCACGTTATAGAAAACTTAAGGTTTTTTCAAGTATACAACATACATAACACATACCTGAGTAGCAACAATATCATTAACAACACTTGAGTTCTCGATACACTTTCAGCTGTTGTCTCGCTCTATTGATGATTCTTCCCTATAAGTAGCATAACACATTAACAATCAAGTAAATATTATTATAAACTTCAAATAAGTAAATAATGTTTAAAAACAAATACATGTCAGAATAGGTGTATAACTCATACCAAGTCTTTGTTTTCGCATTTTTTATTTTAGCCCTACGTACAATTTCGTCAACCTTCGATTGCTTTCTTTACATGGAGGACGACCTTTGCTGCGAGCTACCCTTCTTTACTACCAAACCCTCCCTCACTTTCCTTCTGCTCCAACTTATTTTTCACTCCAGTCATCATTCCATCAACATGTTACAGTCTTCCTCATTGTTTGATGCCATATCAGCTACTGTCAACATTAGATTAGACAACTTCTCAAAACGCTGTCCTTCAACGTTTGTGCTCCACCTATTATAACTTACCTTGATTTTCGTATGACATCTTTTTATGTTTTTCCTCCAACTCCGTAGAATGTACTTATCTGGAATGTGTGAAACCCTTTTATGAATCAACACAATAATGGCATGTCTGCATAAAATCCCTTTGAACTCAAACAAATGACAATTGCAGCGAATATCATATGAAATTTCTTCAAAGTATACCAGAAAGGGAACACACCGATTACTATCTCCAAACCAAACATCTTCTAAAACTTGATACTCCTCATACGAATCGGACTTTTTCAGAAAAGATAATTCACAATAAATCTTCCCTGCAATCTCTTCTTGAAACTCTTTAAATTTTGCAGTTGTGTATGCATTTTGAAACTGTTTCTCAATGGGGTAATTAGTTGTGCACGATATCCAAGACTTGAAAGATCTAAAATCAGCCTCCCTTTCCTTTTCCACTTTATCTCGCAATGCATTATCATATTGTTCCACATATTGTTTCAACATTGTTTTGGAATTTACATATCCATCGAAAAATGCATGCATACTTTCACTATGTTGGGTAATAGACATACCTGCCCAAAAAGTATCTTTAAGAAATGCAGGAACCCAACGTACTCTTTCTTTATATAATCCAGATAACCATTCATTCTCATGAAGGTTATGCACATCAATGAATTTGTTCCACCGTTCTTCGAACTCTTCACGTGTCAACGAATCATACACAATATTTTGTAACGTAAACTTGATAGTTTCATATTCGTTATACCCTTTTAACTTCTCAGGCAGCTTCTTCACTATATGCCATAAACACCACATATGTCTTGTACCGGGGAAAACAATCTCAATTGCATTTTGCATGGACTTATCTTGATCAGTGATAATTCCATTAGGAGCAACATCCATGCATTCAAGCCAAGAACGAAATAACCATACAAATGTCTTTGTGTCCTCATGTGAAATTAACCCACAACTTAACAATGTCGAATGTCCATGATGATCAACCCCCATAAAAGCCGCAAATGGCATATCATACTTGTTCATCAGATACGTTGTGTCGAAGGTCACAACATCACCGAAATCTTTATATGCGGCCCTACATCTAGCATCAACCCATAGCACATTCTTCAATCGACTCTCTTCATCTACATCAATCATGTACCCAAATTTTGAATTCTCCTTTTGCATTTTCATAAAATACTCTAGCACTGCCAAAGAATCTCCAACTACAAGTCGTAGCCTTCTAACCTTTTCAATGTAATTCCTACAATCTTTCTGTAGAAATGTCAAATTCTCTACACCTCCTGCCTCAACTAAACATGACTGAAAATTTTGACACGGTCTAATCTCAGCCTAATCATTAACTTCAAGCCTCCTTTTCACAAAAAGTTGTATCGTTCGGTTTACCTTGAAATATCTCCTTTTCGTCGGACTTGTAAGATCATGGTTATGTTCAAGCACAACTGATTTAAGTTCCCATTTGTATTCACCATTCAAAGATGCACTAATCCGACTCTTACAGTCTGTTTTTGCAACAGATTGTTTTTTCAAGGTATTTCTACATTTACTTCTCTCCTTCCCAGAACAATAACACGCCACTGTCACGTATCTCATTTCTCCATCATCTCCTTTCTTTGACGTACGTATCATTGCTTCAAAACCCATTTTATTCCCATACCTTCTGTAATACTTCACCAAACTATCAACTGAATCAAATACCATTCTAATATGAGGCTCCACTTCTTCCTCTGCACATCCCGTATCTTCTAATTCATCACATTTATTTTCCAGATTCAATGGTTTTATAATAAAGAAAATTATAATGTGAACACATCATAATAAACAATACAATACACCATATTTAAAAAAGTTTCAAACACAATTTACTTCAATATCATTGAAACGAGGCAAAATGGACTCTTCCATATTCAGTTATTTCATGCACAACTAATACCAGTTTTCGTATACACGAATCCAATTCACAACTGTCTATAAAACGAATATGAATGTTATCTATCAAACATATATTCAATCCAAAATAGAATAAAAACTAAATGAATATATAAATAAGTCAAAAATTCTTTACCTTAACAAAAAATCTGAGCTTTAACAGGTTTGATATTTTGTTATTTTTGTTTCTCGGTTATCTCTATAAAACAAGGTATTGTTGCTGGTGCTTGGCTGTTGAGGAAGCAACCGGCGTCAAAGCAAGGAATGACAACACGCAACAAAGGAGAAGCGAAGAAAAACAAATGGCGCAGACGAAGAACAGAAGAAAAACAAATGACGGAGACGAAGGAGAAGGAGAAGAGAAGAAAAAAATTCTGGCGCTTAAAAATGAAGCGTATTGGACAAGCCATTCATTAATATTAATTTTAAAAAAAAAAATTCAACAAATATGAACGCCAATCCATGTAGTTTGGACTGTCGTCCCTATATGGACGGCAATCCATTTACTATAGGGACGGCCGTCCATACTACATGGACTGTCGTCCCTATAGGATGGACGACCGTCCACATATGATGGATGAGCGTCCATCGGCTTTTTTTTTTTTTTTTAATAAACTTTTTTTTATGGACGGTCATCCAAACTACATGGACAGCAGTCCATGTAGTATGGACGGCCGTCCATACTACATGGACTATATGGACGGACTGTATGGACTATCGTCCATGTAGTTTGGACGACCGTCCACAGATGATGGACTGGCGTCCATTTTAACTGGACGCCCGTCCCTAAAATGTGGACGGGCGTCCATCGTTTTTTTTTTTTTAAACTAAACTTCTTTTCATGGACGGTCATCCATTCCACTATGAACGACCGTTCGGAACGTATAGACGGCCGTCCGAAAACGTTGAACGACTATCCATTTATGTCAATATTCAATTGTCTAACGTGACGGTCTCCACGTGTTTTGATGCAATTTTTCAGTGGACATAACATTTTTGCCCAATATAGATACTACTAAAAAATAGCCCAATTCCAACCCAAAATACCTCTCCCTAAACATACCCTTACAGCTATTGATGTTGAGGACATGGCCTAGTTAATAAACCTAGGGTGATGGGCCTATACTTACGTGGTTTGGCCCATTCCAGTTCAGAAACGATGACGTTTAGGTTTAGGAAAAGCGGAAAAAGAACATGAAAGTAGTCTGAGTAGGTGAGGAGTTCCATGCTGATGCTATACATGATCTTGTGGTTTAAAGAGGGCAGTAATTAGTTTGTGTTATCTGGAAGCGTGAAGGAAGATGGTACAAAGTGGTAATTCAAACAAGTGGAATACAACCATGCAGATGCAGTACATGTAATAACCGAGGAGAAATTAAACACACAAGTGAGGCATGTGAGATGAGAGCTTTAGGTGGGTACACGTGGCATTAAAGGAAGAGACGAGGGAGAAAAAACAAAAGAGTTTGCAAAAGCATGATATGATGCAGAGGTAGACAGGCGCAGTACAATAATAAAAGAGAGTTGAAGATAGAGTATATACGGAGTGTTGGAGTATGATAAACATACCCACATAGTGATAGTGCAACTGTTAATATTATCATTTATCGCTAACAAACAAACACCTGTCTAATCTCCTCTCCATCACCTACGATATTCACACACTTTTAACATCAACCCTCGCCCTCTTCTTAACAATGAACAACGCTGGCATTCCCAATATGTTCAGTCTCAAAATTAAAATAATTGAGCACAAGCAACCCTAGCATTAAACGCTGAATAATTACATTACATGAAATATATTACTGTTAACATCAAAGATATAACATAACAAACGCTCAAAAAGGATAATAACTGCGTGCAAAAACAGTCGAAATTAAGTTCACAAAACCAAACATCCATCAGATGAGAAACCCATACATATTTACAATTATTAAAGGTAAAGGTACTGAGAGGGTTACTACGTCAAATGTTAAAGCCTAGATCAGCTCAGATCAGACGGTTAACTTTTCATTTACCGACCCAAACACAGAGCTGCCTTGACGTCCAGTCTCCATGCAAAACCACCAGCGTCCATTCGCCAAACGTCACACGGTAGAGTTAGCGAGTTCTTCTCTTTACCAAACGTGTATTGTAGCCTCACCCTGCAACTGAAAGCCTGGTACGTCAGTGTCACCGTCATCGGCACTTTCATCACCAACCATACCACCATCTCTTCGCCTTCTTCCTGGCCCACCATCTTCTTGTAAGCTTCATTGGCCCATATGACTCTACCAAACTGATCAGATATAAACCCGGGACACGTGTCCCTCCCCAGATTCATTCTCCTCTCCTCGTCCGTACTACCTAATCCATCCCCATCCACCCATGTATCCGTCACACATTCCACCGTCGCACACGATCCCGCCACCTTCATTGCCTGAGGCATCATCACTACCGCCCGATCTGCTGAGCCACCAAACCCACCGGATACCACCAGCTGATCCTTACACTGACCACTTTTATCAAAGCTAAGCCACATCGGCACCTTCAAGTTACGTACTTCCTTATCTTGAGGCCCCACCTGCGACGATCTCGCCGGAGAGTCAGGTAACAGTGGCAAAGTAACAACGGAGTCGCTTTTTCCTTCACTAAGAACTTTTCTTTTTCTGTTACTATTACACCGTTTGTTTGTGTTGTTGTTGCTATTGTTTTCTCTGGAATATTTTCTTTTGCCTCTACCAGTCCTAGCAAAAGTCTCGCCGCTGCTTTCCGTTGGCGAAACTGAACCACCGGTGGTCGGTTTAGGAGCGATTGGTCTGAACCGTAACATTATCCGGTTCACTTTCGACATATCGTATGTATTACCACCTGGATATCTGGCTATACAACAACCTCCTCTACCGTCGAGTTTATACATTTTTTCTCTCTCTAAAACTCGGTGTTTTACTCAACTCAACTCAACTCAGTTAGTATGTTTTGTGTGCAAGGACGTAATTGACGCACTAAATGCACAGGTGCAGTTCAAAGAGATTAGAGAGTAGAAGCAATTTATAAGGGAAGTCCGATATATGATAGACACGTGTGAGGAGTAGACACGTGTATCAACAGTGAGTTAAACAGCGTAGAGAAGCGATTGGCTGCAAAGCGAAACGTGGCTGTTGCAGGAATAGGGGCCCAGGTGAAGAGAGAGGCGAATGTGAAGTGTGATTGGGCCCCATGGGTTAGCCAATGAGAATAGGAGGAGTGTTTAGCAGTGGCTCCAGGATAGGGGCACGTAGGCCTTGGACCTCGTGAAGTGTGTACGGAGGTGGTGGTTGTTCCAGAAAGAAGACACGTGGGCCAATGTGTATGGTTTTAAATTGAGATCAAAGTGTTTCGGGAGTTTCCATAATTAGTAGGGGAAGATTGTGCCACGTGAACGGCTGGATAATGACCCGTATCTATTCTTGTCGAGATTTGTGACGTCAGCTTTTGGGGTAGATGACTTTTTCACTTGTCTCCGTGATTGGAGAATGGGAAAGGACTGGTTCATTTTGAATCTTATTTAATTTTTTAGAGTACATAATTGCCCATGCACGTTTTCATTATTTTTCAAAATAACCTAAATACTCTGTGGGTGCTTTAGGAATTAAAATTGTGTTGAAAGTGATAAAAGCCAAAGACTTCCTGCAGCTTAAAGTTGGTGTAAGCCAATCAAAGGAAGAGCCCCCAGTAAATGGCTATTATGTTTTATTGATTTTGATTGAATGACCTAAACCTAAACAACTTCTAATCAACTAGTTAATTAAGAATTTTTTTTTTTTTTTTTTTTTAAACTTGCTATAATCTCATTCTTCTTGCAGTGACGTAGTTAGAATTTTGAGTTCAAAATATCAAAGTTGATAAATTTATAATAAAATATATTGTAAAGTAATAAATATAAAAATATAATTTTAAAAGTTATATATACCAAATGATTAATTCTACAATTGTTTTCGATGATTTTTTATATTCTGAAAACGTTATATAATCCCCAAATCTCTATAATTTAGGGTTTTATTAATTCTTTAAATCATTTAAAATTAACTCAATAATTAACCAAAATTTATCAAATCCAAATTAAAACAATAACTAATTAACTCATACTTCAACATGAACAAGATTAAATCAAAATCCACATCAAAATATAGTAATTTAATCTTCCAATTTCAAACCCACTTATTAAACTCAACAAAAACTTATAACTCATGATCTTTCATCAATTAAGAAAGTTAAAAGAAAAGAATTTTAAGTAAAAAAAATAAAAACTAAAATGAGGATCATTTTATCTTGTAATCAAAAAGAGTATTCTTTCTTGAATATTCGACTAAAAGGAAAAATATAATTTGAGAGAAAATGAGAGAAAACGAAGAGAAAAAAAATGTTATTCAATAATTTATTTTGTGGGGTTAGCATGAAGTTAATTGGGGTTGAAATTATAAAATCTATAAAACATTAATACTTTTTAAAAGTTGAGTGGGTTCAATTGAACCCACAAGTCTCTATGTGACCACGTGTCAGCTTTTTTGGTTAGGTTGATGAATGTACGTGAATATTAAGTGTTCATGCATGTATAGTTTATTAATAATTTGATGTGGGGTGAGGCTTAAGATAGAGGCAACAACAGAAACCCAAAAACAAAATTATATTAAATTAATATTATTAAAGCCTAAAGGGCAGATGCAGTGGTTCTCCTCGGTCGATAAAGAAAACTAAGTTGATTCGTTTCAAGACACTGAAAAAGAATTGTTAACATTTTTGAAGTCTCTAGTACAAAAAGAGGTGTATAAATGTAAGCATTTCAAATGAAAACCAGCTAAGATCAACCTACTTTTACGTTTAAAATATGCCATTCTACTATTTTGTCCTGAAACAAAAGGTTATATATATATATATAGTAGAATAATTCCATTTGCTTCAATCAACTTAATTTTTGAACCAAGGCAGGAGTAGAGAATATTAGGTCCGTACAGTTTAATGTCATTAACTATGATATGGTCATATAAACTTTACTATTATAGTTTTTTATTGATCAACTTTTGTTCCGATAAAGTGATTTAACATCTATCCAAATAAATAGTGTGGGATTTCGGTCATCATATCTGAAAGGAATATAAAGCAAATTTACTTGGTTAATTTAAGTATTACATCAATTTTCTTATAGCTAGGTTTGTCGCTTTTCATACAGGATAAATTATATGCCTCTGCTTCTTTATACCTCTTCAGGAACTGATATTCAATTTTAAGTTTCTACAAAATAAGAAGAAGGTGTGTTTGATCAAAGTGTATTTGATTGAAATGAGGCGCGTGAAGCCGAAGCCCAATAGATAAATAGGAAGGTGGATTTTCTTTTCAGCCAAACAGAAAAAGCAGGATTCCTTCATTGTACCATGACTAACCAAACCAATAAAATCTCACTTCAATGGCTATTATTTCTATCCTACGTAAATAAGTGCCATCTGTCCCCTTTTTTATCACTATTCATGTTGAGAATTGAAAACAACTTAAACCTTACTTGCCTCACCTTTTCTTGGATAGTTTTTGAAATTTGAGACAAATTGTTCAATAATTCCGGCAAGGTAAACAGACCTTGTGGACCCCAATTCTTTTACAAATGGGACGATATATATCTGTAGAATTCTGCAGGGTCCACAAATCAGGCGTAAGGTAATGGCTGTGATTCAATCTTACGGTTTACGATTGATGGAGAATGACCGCTTGGTAGGTATAAATGCAGCTTTTTTTTAGTGGCAGATCTTGAGTCAATTATTTGGTGTCCGGACTCCGGACCAATGATGCAAACCGGTGACATCAGAAGGACAGAGATATTTTTTCATGAAAATCCTGTTTTTAATGATGATAATTAGGAATAAAATTAACAAAATAATCTTTTTTTTTTTTAATGTGAAACGTACTGTTAGATTATATTTATCAGATTTAATCATTGTTTCCACTAATTAAGTTAAAATAACCTTGGTTTAATTATTTTGGGACCATGGGTTTGAAGCAATATTAAACATGAAGAAGATGATGCAATGAAGAATCTAAACTGCAACCACTATCTCATTCTCATCATCATCATTATATAATTATATATCGCTGGCCACTCCGCCGCAATCCAAAGCTGTCTCCGCCAAGAACTACTTAGATGTGACCATGGATCGCCCCCTATCTCCGTTACGTTACGTATGTGGCACGTTTACCTGGTTGAGTGAGAAGACTTGTAAAGCGACTAAATCATATTAAGAGCTAAGTAATATATTTAATTAGTATTATTAATTAATCTCCCGTATCTAATTTTGGTGTTCTTGCCAATTAAGGCATTTACATCTATAAATCTATATCATCTTGACTTGGATAATCCTATTACGGAAAGACACCAGTATACCTGCAGTTGCAGCTGGAATTTCAAAGACAATGAAGAACTCTTTTCGTTCTCCATTTTAATCAAACAGCTGATCGGTGGTTATCAAGAGTGTTTAACCATGCAGAAGGCAGAAAGGGTGAGGTTGAGATTGATTGACTGGATTAGTGTGGGATGTTAATTATATTAATTAAAGTGATTATGACTTCATTTAGATTTGAAGCGGCAGACAGCGGAGGACCATCTGAATATGCATATTCTTTAAAATTAATTAATTAATTATAAGTGTAATTAATAGAGTTAGGTCACCTTTCAAATAAAGCGGTATGTATCCCTGACAAACGGGAAGAGACAAAGGCCTAATTTAAGAAAGTAATTGCTCTTCCTTTCTCATATATAATCTTGCTGTAGAAGCGGCTATTAGGTTAAGCCAACTGTTCCCTTATCTATTCCTTTCATCTTATTTATATTTCAGCTGGTCATTGTCTAATTAACTGGTGGAGCTCAGATGCATTCACCCTTTCATTTTTCTAATGAATATATATATCATTCCCAACATACCTGTTATACTTGAAAAAGTAGGACTGACACAAAGTCTTATCAGTATAAGGTGGTTAGAACTTAGAAAGGTTCTACGACTAATCAGGCGTGGCCACATCGCATGATGATGTGAGTGACATGCCCCTGTCAGTACAGTGGGTGAACACTAGGTCAGCAGATGGTTGGAAATCGTCTACGTGTTCGATCCCTGTACAAGTTGAGGAAATCACTCAGACAGGTGAGCAATGGGACGCAGAGAAAGATTTGCACAGTATCCACCCCACTTGCAGATTTAGTAATCATTACCTTAATTAATTAATCCCACTATAAATAGAAGACTTCTCTCTCATTTGTAGGATTAGCTAATTTCACTCTGAAATAGCATACTCTCTCTCTCTCTTATATTCTCTAAGCTGTAACCCAGTTCGCTGATCGTGACCTGACTTTACTCTCATTAATATAATATCAGTGGACGTAGGATTCGCCTTTGAGTATCTAAACTACTTTAAACATTATTCTTTATCTTTTACTAAACTAAATACTTCTATAATTACATATGACTTCTAAACTTATTTAATATTTTTAACGTGTAAATAATTAGTGTCAAAATCAGCATCAAGAAATCCCTCTCAGTTAAAGAAATAGACGAAGAATGTATAAAGAATGTATATTATATAAAGGAAGAAGGTAGGATCTGCTGCGCAAAATTAATATTCCTTTAGTTTATTATATATAAATATACTACCATAAAATCTGTGATAAGACTGATAAGAATATGGACCAAGAAGTTGAATACTTTTGCAATACTTCTTAATTTATATCGAGAACGACTTTTGTCCTCCATGTTCCACCATCCAGATGGCAGTTTTTGCCATCATTATCGCATCAACTTTGGAGTTGGCCCCAATAATCAATTTACGTGATTTTCTTTTTCAACAAAAGTTAATCCATCCATATATTACTCCTGTTTTCTGATAATAACATGATCCCATTCATCGTCTTCATGATATGTATGACTTCATCCATCATAGTTTTTCCTTGTTGCTTCTATTTCACGAATGACATTTCTTGGATT